TGAGGAGTCTGAATCGTTCTCAAATTCGACGGCGTGCAGCTTTTCCGTGATTTCGATGATGGAATCGTCCTCCGCCGTTACCGAAATCGCTTCATTGGGTCTCCGCAACGGACTCTGGGGGAGCTCGGCAAAGACTCGCCTGGCTTTGGCTCTCGTCGAGGCCTTGCCGTACGTACGGGCTGCCGTTGTTCGCGCCATTGTGTATTGGTTTTATTCTCATTCAGTATTGTTTTGCAGGCATGAAAATGCATTCGCCGTTATCGTCCGCTGCAAGTTGCTGCATTGACGGTCGTCCGCCTCTATTGACATTCAATGCATGTTGTCCCGACAACCGGGGGCCCACCGAATCACCGCGGATGGCATGTTATTCCGGGAGCGGCTGGCGACTTGGACGCGCGAGACTCGGAAGCCCGGCTCGACCGCATCCAAATGCTATGTGGGGCAACGCCGTTACCCCCCAGGTTCCAGAACAGCGATGTGACTGGCTGACGACAGGTTGACGAACTGACCTAATTTCGCCTTTGGCTGGCGATACCTCTCCTCACTAGCTCGCAGCTTCACTGTCTGCAGTCTTGGACCTCGACACCACCGCAGCTAGCCAGCCATCCCCCTCGACCGCAACCATGGCTAACATTCTCAACGGCCTCTTTGGAGGCTCCAAGTCCTCTGCATCCCCGATCCCTAGCGGAGACGCTGGTATGTGATACTCAATTGCAATTCGCATCTCTTGAGCCCCCCCTCCCCCCGGTGCCGTCAAAGCTTCTACCCATTTCTCCTCGGCACCCACAAAACCCACCATCCCAAGCTGACGCAATCCGCCTTCGCATGTAGATTTCGCAGACTTCGCAGAGGCTCCCGACCCTTCACCCACGCCCGGCACCTTCACTGCTGCTCCCGGCGGCGCGACTCTCGGCGGTAGCTTGCCTGAGGCTACGGCTCGTCCCTACACGAAGTGGTACAATATCCATGAGCGTCACTCGCTCAGCGAGTTCAAGCTCGAGGGTGCCATCCTAGCCGTCAGCGCCGTCATCTTCCTTCTGCACATCATTGGCACGCGCCTCAACCGCAAGAAGGCCCAGACCTGGGCTTTCGCCCACGCGCCGTTGCTCAAGTCTGAATTCGCCTCGGTCGGCTTCTCCCCGCGTTCGACCACCAACACCGATCCCAAGGATGCCGCCGGCTTGTTGCGCGAGAAGTCTCTCTTCGAGTTCGCCAGCTACAGCACGGGTCGCCAGAACGTCGCGTTCATGGACGTCAAGTTGACTCTTACCAAGCGCTTCAACCCGGCCCTGAGCATCGTCGAGTCCGTCTCCAGCTTCTTCATGGATGCCGTCGAGACCCCCCATGACTCTGTCGAGGCTATCATCTACCCCTTTGACGGCAAGGAAAACCTTACCGTTCCCTCCATCCCCGGCACCCACGAGCTGCGCAGCAAGGAAAACAAGAGCACCTACGACAACTTTGTCTGGGCCATTGTCTCCAAGGACCGCATGAAGCAGGTCCGCGACGATCGCTACGACGTCTCCATCACCTTCACCAAGGACCACGCCAAGCTCCCCAACTGGGTCACCATCATGAGTGAGAGCGCCGAGATCACCGAGCAGCTTCTGACGCCCGAGCTCATCAAGGCTGTCGAGGCTGCCGGCGACGCTTTTGACTACCTCATCGTCTCCGACCAGCCCATTGAGCGTCCCGCCACGTAAGTCGCCACGGCCCTTCCGTTGCTTTTCCATACAATACTGACAGTCCACGCAGCCTTGAGGAGACCACCCCCCGCAAGCGCATCTTCCTCCGTTACCGCATCCCCTCCAACAACAACTACGACGCCCTGCTGCCCATTTTCGAGTACTTTGTCCGCATCCCCGACGCCCTCGTCTCCGGCGCCCACTTCCGCCCCGAGGTCCTGCGCAAGGTGCGCAGCGTGCGCGAGGAGACCATTGCCCAGCTCAAGAAGGCCGCCGACGCCGAGAAGGCCGAGGAACGTGCCCTCGAGCGCGAGAAGCAGAAGAAGGCCAAGCGCGACGCCGAGCTCAGCGCCCTCGACGCAAAGGCCCAGAAGAAATACCTCGAGAGGGAGCGCGAGCGCGACCTGAAGAAGAGCATGAAGAAGCAGACCATGCGCGGTTAGAGCAGCAATGCTTTTCTGACTGGGATATTCCAATAAGTTCTGTCTTCATCTCCCTTTTTTCGAGGGCAAACAAAGGGGGGGGGGCAGCGTTGTGTCCGTTTCGAGGCGGTTCAGGGTGCCGGTGGTTCAAGGGGTCGGCGGTGTCAATATCACAATCTACCGGGCTGAGATGTATACATGTACCATTACGAAAAGCGGCGGGGAAAATCAAATAGTATATCGATGCGTCGATGAATAACTTAATAAGCCGGCGTTCCTTGCCCCGGTTTCCGTTACGTGAGCTGGGCGGCCTGGGAAAGCGCACGGTCTACTTGTCCGACGCGAGAATCCCCTCGATCCGCTTCACCTTGTCTTCGGCCGACTGCTTCTTGTCCGTCCTGCGCGATCCATCAGCCCCGGGCGTTTCCGCGCGCACTCATCACTTGAGATAGACAAACCTCGAACCGACGCGCATCGAAGACTGGATCCTGACGACGCCGCTCTGGTGGACAAGGGAGTGGGCCTGTCCGATGACGCGGAAGACGTCGTCCCAGCTGCCCTCTGCGCAGGGTCTCGCCGTCAGCTCTGCTCGAAATCACCCCAAACCCCATGAGCGGCCCCTCTGTACCGTGACGAGAGGGGGGCGAGGGGGGCGAGGGGGGCGGGGGTAAACCCCGCGGTCTGGACTCACCGACGGTCGTGCCGGCCGAGTGCATCGTGCACTTGAGCCCGCTCGCTTTCAACAGGCGCTGGACCTGCGCGACTTCATTGGCGACGGAGACGCTTCCTGTCCCGACGGGGATCAGGCAGAAGTCGCAGTATGCCGACTCGGGCGTGGGGATCTTGGAGTAGTCCTCGGAAGCCATGGTTGAGCTTTCGAATTCCTTGGGTGGGGGGCTTTTGACCTGCACGGCGTGTCGAGGCGATTGCGGGGCTGCCGTAGTCAGCCTCTTCTCGAAGAAACGTGAAGGAAAAAGTCAAAAAGAAAAAGGACGTATAGGTACGTGAGCGTTTTGCTACCCGAAGTCGTGATATCTAGCAAAGGGATCCTCTTTACCAGTGATGAGGCAGAGCCGCAGCCCCACTCTTGGTCAAGGTGTGTGTGCGAAAGTGCGGGCAAGCTCCCCGGCCCGATCCGGCTTAGCGCCACTGCTGTTTCAACGACTTGAATGCTAGTCCATGTGCATCTACGTATCTCATCAGTAATGACCGCCTATTGTAACACGCAGTCACTGGTTTATCAAAGTCTTTTTTTTTTTTTCCTTTCTTTTTTTTTCTTTTTTTTTCTCTTTCGTATCCTTGCCGGTACGATGTGCGATCAGCGAATCCAGTTTGGTAAGGTTCCTGGACAAAGCCCACTGTAAAGTTACATTGCGGACAGGTAATTAGTGCATAAAATGCATGATATGGCTGGCTTGTGTGTGAAACTACCGTGGACCGTCGTTGGCCATGTCTACCTGCAGAGGAGGTAGGTCACTGCTCATAGGATTGCGGCAGTCATACTGTTCTTTCCCTTGAGCCGTGTATTCAGCTTCTTGGTCCCATCGCTCATCAGCATCACCGTCGGCCTCGTCGGGAGCCGGAACGGTCGGTAGTCTCGATCAAATATCAACCGACCCCCCCCACCCTTCAATCTCGGCTGAGAACTCCGGTCTCCGTCAAAAGGGCTTCTCGATATTTACGGAAGACCAAGCCGTGAACCGGTAGCTAGCTCGATGCCGGGAGAGCCTAGGCTGGTCGAGGCACAATGCGTACTTTTTGACTTTTTGTTTGAGTTCTGCTAGGGGCCTAGGGTAGACTCGATCAGCGATGAGTACCGGTAGGTCGGATCTCGGCCGAGCGGGACTGTAAGAGGACAAGAAGAAGAAGAAGAGAAAAGAGAGAGAAAAGAAGAAGAAAGAAAACAATGACAGAGTTTCCCCGTGCCTGAGAAGGGAAAGCGTGTTTTTTCCCCCCCCCCTTCCGCGATCCCCTGGCTTTTTCTGTTGCTCCCAGAGTCATGGCTGCCGTGGTGCCACCCGAGTCCCTAATCCGTTTCAAGGGAAACCTTTTGTTTCTCTTCGGCCCTCCCAAAAAGGCACGCGATGCAACGGCTGCCGGCTTCTCGCCGAAGGTCAGATTCTAGAATCCCCAAGGTAAACTCCATTCTTCCATGTCGGCCAAAAAAAAACGCGCAAAATAAGCTCGCGTGCTCACCTGACACTGGCTTTAGCCCTCCCCGGCCATCGGCGTCCAATCCTCCCTGCCTCCAAACCTTGTTACTCTGCTCACTCCGATCCTGACGTACCCTCTGTAATATCTCGGCGACCCAAGGAAGGCCATCGGCATTATGTGCCGCGTTTCACACTCTCACGTCTCACGACTCACGACTCTCGACTTGCAGGCGTATACGCCTGGGGGTGGGGGAAGGTGCCGCTTTCGCAGAAGAAGCCTCATGACATTAGAATTTCAAAGCTCGTCTAAGGACTGACGGCGGACCCAGGCTCCTGGCGCTGGCTCAGCATGATGGAGGACAGCCTCAACCTTGACCCGAACTCGCCCCTGTCTAACTTCTTTCCTTGGATGCGAGCCCTTTTCGAGCAAAGAATCCCATTTGCCAGGCATTTCCCTCTTCCTCTCACCTTTTGCGGCGCCACTACTGCTGCCCACTACCATTGGTGCCGTTGCTGCTGCTGCTGCTGCTTCTGGCGCCGCTCGTGCCAATGATCTTCGCACCGTTGCTACTGCTGCCCTCGCTGCTGCCACTGCCGTTGGCTTTGGTGTTGCCGCTGCTTCTGGCACCGCTGGTGAGGAGGGTCTTGGCGTCGTTGCTGCTGCCCTCGCTGCTGCCACTGCCGTTGGCGTTGTGGTTGCTGCTGCTGCTGCTGCTGCTGCTGCTTCCGCCGCCGCTCGTGACCTCAAACCTCGTGCAGTCGTCCTGCGCGCCGCGCTGGGCGACGGGCATCACGACGGGCTGGTGGGTCGTCGCCGACATCATGGTGCACGCGCGGTACACGCCGGGGGGCAGCCCGCCGTCGACGCGGGCCGTCAGCAGGCCGTTGCCGTTGCCGGCGTCGTCGATGCCCTTGAAGAAGGCGAACTTGCTCGCGTCCGGCGGCGTCGCCGTCGTCATGGAGCCGATGTCCTGGATCGTGACGTGGCAGTGCCCGTAGACGTCGCCGGCGAGGTCGAGCTCCTGCGGCGCCGTGTAGTAGTTGGTCGCCGGGTTGGCGAAGAGGCCGGCCCGCAGGTGGACCGTCTGCACCGTGATGTTGAAGCCGACACCGGCCGCCAGCCGGTCTCCGGGCCGCGGGTTGGTGATGACGGCCGAGATCATGTTCTGCGCCGAGGGGAGGCTGCCCATGGGGATGCCGTTGCAGGACCCGCCGGCGAGCTGCTGGCCGTTGGTGAGGGTCTTGCCCTCGCAGAAGTTGATGAAGTTGTCCCTGTCACTGGCGTGGTTTCGCGTGCGTGTTAGCCGGCTGCTAGTGGATCTATACGCGAGGAGCAGGGGAGGTTTTACGTACGTCGTTGCCGCAACTTGCCCCGGCTTGATACCCTTGCTTCCGGGTTCCTGGCCGGTGAGGCTGCTGGCGCGCTGGATGAGGCTCGGGATCAGGCACGAAGGCTGCTGCTGCTGCCTGGCTGTGAGGACCTCCGGGCCGGAGTGATCGGCATGGAAAGAACCGGGCAGGGCCGCCACGCGCCGGCTCAGGATGGCAGAGACGACCGCGGCCAAGGCGAACGAGTAGAGCATGTTTTTGAACGATGAGGCTGGGGGACACTGCCGCCAGGGCTAGGTATTATCGGCTTGCGTCGAAGCAAGTAATACGTCGAACGCAGCTTGCACAGCAACCTGGGTGATCCGACTTGAAGGGAAAGGGGGGGGATTGGAAGAAACGAAAGAGCTGCAAAACGACCGTTTGTTACATACTGTCAGACCGTCATCCCGAGCCCTTGGCGACGCCCTACAGCGGCCTTATATACGGGAGGGAGAAGGGGTGGGGGTGCGGGAGGACGCAACGAACAAGCTTCGCCGTCGCTTCGAAGTATTAGCTTTCCGGGTAGCCGGCTCGCCCTCGCGTGCGGCCCTGGGTTGTCATGCATCGGGGGGTTTGTTCATTCAGTAAGCAACAAGCCCCCCCCCCCCCCCCCTCGACGCGGCATCGCATGTGCCGGAAGCAGGTTCGAGTTGAAGTTCTGATGCCAGTCTGTCTCTCTGCCTACCGCCCACATCACGGTTCGAAAGGGTTGTCATCTGGGGACTCGCGTTTGCCCCTTTGCTCACCCTTCCCTCGCCCTCACCTTCCTCCGCTACATCAACCCGCGCAGCTAGGATGCGCCAAAAGTGAGTTGAGATGATACGGCCCCGTCGCGATTCCATGCATCGATGTGGCTTTTCTCCTTTTTGGGAACAGTGTCGTTCTAGAGTGTCCGGAAGAGAAACCTTGATCGACCCCCCTCCCCCCCTCCTCTCGGAGGGTGCCGGTGCACGGCAGGGATGGGCTGGCGTGACAGCGTCGATCCGAAACGGTCCGCTCACTTTAAGTCGGGATCTCCAACGGTTCCTTGCCTGTTCTTGGCATCGGCACGCTAAAGCGCACCGGGATGGCGGGAAACTCTGTCCGGTCCCCTTGCGAGGGGCGCGCACGGCAACGGTTGACTGGCGGTCAGTTGCGCGTCCACCCAGCGATGCCACGCAAGGGCTATATAGCTAACTACCGTCCACGCCGTCTCTGCCGTCGAGAGGTCGCCAAGTCACACGACCTGCTTGAACAAATTTCAATTTGCAAACCGACAGGCCGGGAGAGGGAAGTCGTTCAAGATGCGAATGAGTATACGTTTTGACATTAGCCAGGGATACGATGTTACTCGATATCTGAATTCTATCTACATCCGTATTCCCATCCTAGTCGGTAGGGTATCATCGTCTTCGTTGCGCCATTCCGGACGCTTGTATCCGAGCTGATCCTCGGGAGCATTGCAGGGTAGCATTTTCCCCTGCTGTACAATATAACAAAGAACAAGAAGGTTGTCGTTTCACAACATTTCCCCAGCCGACTATACCCTCGGCTCATATCCAACGCCATCGCTATGCAGTGTTTTTTGTGCAGATGATAAAGCATAGACAATAAGAGATAATAAGAGCAGGAAACCCCATGCCCATTCTAGATTTCCCCATACATGGACGCGGACATTTGATGGAAAAAAATGAAAAAAAAAAAAAAAATGGCTTGGTAAGCCGCGCTGGGACGTGCACTTAGAAGAAGAAGACGGCGGCGGCGAGGAACGCGACGAGCGCGCCAGTCTCCATGCCCGGCGCCCGGCCGGCCGACTTGGCGCTGCTCGAGCTTGCCGTCGCGCTGTTGCTGTTGCTCCGACCCGAGATGTCCGACTCGGAGAGGCCGTTGAGCGAGTCGGCCGTGTCAATGGCAGGGCCTCTGTTGAAGAAGTCGACAAGAATGAAGACGGGCTTGACGCCCCACTCCCTCCTGCACGTCTGCGCTTGTAGTCCCAGGTTACCGGGGGTGCTAGTGCTGGGCGAGTTGGTCGTGTCGATGTCACTGACGTCCGGGATGAGGATGTCGGCAGCGAGGATCTGGTACCGGAAGTGGTTCATCAGGGGCAGCATGTTGGCCGAGACGGCGGCAGCGGCGGAAGAGAAGGTCGAGGGGCGGCCGATGGTGCAGTTAAAGCCCGAAGCGGTGGTGACCTCGTAGTCGGTCTCGAAGACGTAGGCGAACTCGGGAAGGAGGTAGGGGTAGTTGGTGTCGGGGGTGATGGAGGCGACAAAGGTGACGAGACGGGTGTCGGCGTCGATCATGCTCTGCAGGGAGGGCCAGTTGGAGGTCGCCGAGGCCGAGGAGGGCTTGTAGCCGTACTTTGAGATGCCGGACGACTCAAAGACCTGGCCATATGCCGAGGCGGGCTGGTTGTCCGAGTTGACGAGGAGGATGGTGACGACGTCGCTGGTGTGATTGTCCATCCAGTTCTTGATGGAGGAGAGCCACTTCTCGAGGGTGCCGGCGTCGAGGAGACTGCAGGTGGTGTGACACAGCTGGAGGACGCTGCCCGAGGAGCCGTTGACGACGTGGACCTGGGCCTGGAGCAGGCGGATACCAGAGTTGAGGGCGACGGTGACGTCGAAAAACTGGTTGCCAGCGATGGAGTTCTGGGTGCTGGCGTCGCGGAGGAAGGCGCTATCGTGGGCGCCCATGTATGTGATGTTGTTGTACTTGCGGTTGCAGAGCACGGGCGAGTTGTTGCAGGCGGTTGTGTTGGAGGAGGATTGGGCGTAGACGGTCGCCGTGGAGGCGAGGAGCGCCGTGAAGGCTCTACGAAGTGAGAAGACCATGGTGGGGATGGTGTGTGTTCTCGTTCGTGTCTCTGTTTATTGATGTTGCGGCATGTGCATGTGTGGTTTCGTGCGTGTACGAGACTGGACTCGGAAACGTTCAATGGACCGACAACTCGAAAGCGGGATACGTCGTCACCTAAGTAAACGTCGACAAGAGAGACGGTCGGCGGGGGATTATTGCTCTACACCAGGCACGCGCAGCAACGACAACAACGAGGTGGTTGGCCTGAGGTCTGAAAAACAAGGCAACAGAAAACGGCGAGGTCGGAGAGATGGAGTCGGGTCGGGATGAGAGGAGGCTGAGCGAGCAGGGCGACAGGGGACGGCAACGGCAGCGACAGACGGGATGTTACTGGACAAGGTAGGTAGGGGACGATCCAAAGACAGGCGGGTCCTCGATTAGTGTAGAGCTGACGAAAGAGAGACAGAGACAGAGAGAGAAAGAGAGAGGAGGAGGGCGGTATGATGTGCTCCCATCCCCATCGATAGGAGCAGTGCCGGATCCCCAGTCTTAATATGGATGCGCCGCCGCCGCCATCATCCATGGGCCATGGGGCCAAGGAGAGAGAGGAAACACTTGGGTGTTTCCTCGCTGCTCCTCGCCATCCCGCTAGCGTACGTGTACGGATACCGGACCCGGCATCCTTACCTTACGTGTCCCCCGATGGGGCTGAAGGAATATCAGACAAGACAAGACGTGGGTGACCGAGTGCGTGCGGGTTTCCAGTGTGAGTGAGTAAGACGTGCGGCAGAGTTCTGACGTCCTTGGACCCTGTTGGTTGCGTGGCCCTCAAGTCCCGCCCTCCCGTTCCTGGCGGCGGGACTTCCGGGCTCGTGTGAGCGGGCTGCGCGAAGTCGCAAGCTGGATTCATTCATACCATGGCCCCCTCCTTCTTTTTTCGTTCCTTTTTTTTTTTTTTAATTTTTTTAATTTTAAATCTGTTACTACCTTCTTCCTCCTTGTGAATCAATAATTGGCATGTCGGGCCCGTTCAACGCTAGCCACTCTCTTTTTCTTACCCCCCTCCCCCCCACAATGACTGTTCCATGATCGTCTTTACGTACCGCTGGCTGGGGGCTTGTGCCATGGTTAGGCATCTTATTGGAAGATGGGGGTCCGTAGACGTAGTGTAGACAGACAGATGTACGTGCGTACATCTCACCTCACTCACAGACTTACACAGCCCCAGTCGCCCCCCTCAACACGACCTTCGTCCGAACCGCGCGTTGGGTCCAAGTCCGGGTCAGCAGAAGACGTGCAGGAAGGGCGACGTTTTATCCAACGCCGAGGTGCCGCGGCTTCCTTTGGTTGCTGCGCAGTAAGCCCGAGACCATGCAGACTGGCAAGCCTTGTGCGTGTGTCACCTTTTACCTGTCACTTTTTTGCCCACTACTTGCCTCCGCCCGTTAAAGGGCCAACTCCACGGACATGAGACAAGTCCCTCCCTCAGCCCAGAGAGAACGAGACCAGAGAACGAGACCAGAGAACGAGACCAACCAAGAGGGACAAGAATCCCAGTCTGCTCAAAAACAATACCCCCCCCCTCCTCCCCCGTTGGCGGCGGGGAGGCTTCTTCGCCTCTCGCCCACCACGTTATTGCCCTCATCGAGCCGTTGAAAAAAGCGCGAGGCAGTGCGGGATAAGCGAATTTGAGACCGCTTCCGGGTCTTGTTGACAAGTGCTTGCGCTTGCGCCTGTGCTTGATGCTTAGTGCAGTCGGCGCATGGGCCAAGAAGGAACGTGCCCCTAAACCTTGAACGACACACACACTAACACACATACGCACTCGTGGTGCGTTGGTATTCCAAAGAAAAACATAACGCGAGCAACTATCTCTTGAGGTTTGCAAACGTTTCTCTTCTTCACCAGGGGAGGGACCCGATGACGTATCTACTGGTCCTCCCGGTCGCGGAAAGTGAAATGAAACAAACACAACCCACCTTTTTACCCGAAAAGAAGACTGGAGAAGCGGGAACGGGGGCCATGGCGAGCTCTGATGCCAACTTGCGGTGTTGATCACACAGGAGGGAAAAGCGAGTGGCTTTGCACGCATGGATCAACCGGATACCTACCGAATCTTACATAACCACTACAGCATAACTCCAGTTTACCCAGCCACGAAGCCACGAAGCCACGAGTACCGTCGCCGCGTCCACGGAACGGACCCAAGAATGCCATCGATTTGGGGGGGGGGGGGGGGCCGGCGGGAACCAAGTGCCGGGCAGGGGTTGACGGGAAACAGGAAAGCAACAGGCTAAACAAGAAATCTCATCCCCTCCCCGCCGTCGTCATCGCCCACCGCTTTTGCCCTGCGCATGCATCCTCACTGGACGGCAGATCGTTCGCTTTACCTGCCAACCGTCCAAGGCAGCGTGTGTAGTGCATACAGTACCGGTACTAGCGTATATCCATCGTAGGTACCCACCCACCAAGCCCCCCGCCCCCGCGACGATCACCTCCCGATGCTATTTTTGAACTTTTTTCTTTCTTTTTTCCGTCTCCTAGTATCTTGTCACTTGTCGCTGTCACTCTGCCACCACCTCGTCGTTTCCATCCTCCCAAAGACTAACAAAGCAAAATACCTAGGCAGGTTAGGAGATATGCTTATTTTTTAAGATTTAGATTTAGATTTTTCTTAAATTTTTTTTAGAAAAAAAAAAACCCCCCCTCTATCCCGGAAGAATCGGTTTCCCCATGCCCTTTCGTTCCCTACGGTCTGGACTCACGACTGGCCAGCACGCGCTGCATCTCGGGGGACCGTGTCCAACGCCTCGTGATGCGCATTCTTTTTGACCCTGGGTCCCCCCCCCCCCCCTGTGTGAAACGTACCAACACGCGTCCCTGGGGCCAAGTCGCCAAGGTGCAAGAACGAAGCGGCCCCAAAACACGCGCACAATGAATGCCCTTGTGATTGTGAAAAGGCAGTAAAAGTGAAAGAAGAAGACCAAGCAAGAAAGAACTACCAGCTAGTTGGCATCCCAAGTCCGGGGCGGCAAACCCAGACTCCTCGAGGAGTCCGTCTCCCTCCGCCTCCTCCGCCGGGCTTCTCTGCTCCGATGGCGCGTGGACCGGACGCACGAGCATCTCGCCTCCGCGCGGACTCTCAGTTCATCACTTCTCTCCCCCTCCTCACGACGACTTGGCACCAACGCCTTGGGTGAACTAGCCGCAGGGCTCCCAAGGCCAAGCAACTGCCATGCCCGCCATGCCAAGCCACACCGACACACTCACTACACGTCTGACAGCAACACACACACACACACCCAGTCAATGCCGTTGGCGTAACGTAACGCCTTTGCGTACAAAGGGACACAGCAAAGCTTCGTGCAATGCTCAAGCCGTATCCAATGCTCGCTCTCGGATTTTCTCTCTTTTCTCTCTTTCTTCTTTTTCTTTTTTCGTCTGCTTTTCGTCTTTTTGTTCTTCTTCTTCTTCTTCTTCTTCTCCCCCATTAGGCCTGTTCGGATGCTAACTCGTTCACGCCAATGACAAGACCATCTTCGTACCCATCAGTTGTTCATAATCATGTCTTCCGCAAAGCCCCTACACTTAGCTCCCGGTGCTCTGACCCTTTGCCATAACGCTCTAGCTCGGCTGAGCCCCCAGAGCCCAAGTCCACACCTCCTTGGCTTCCACCCCTTATTCGGGGTCCGGCGCGAAGCCAGGCTCCGATCCGGCCTGGGCAGCCTCCATGTCCTTGAGCGCCTTCTGGCCCTCCTCCGTCGTGGCGTCGATGATCTGCTCCTCCAGACTCAGGATGCCGGCCTGGTGGTCCGTCATCTCGTCAGCATGTGCTCAGTCAAACCTTGCGGAAACAAGGGGTGTGTGTGTGTGGGGGGCATCACTTACGTCACCTAGCTTGCCGACAATGTCCTCGGCCTCGTCGACCTTCATCTTGCCAAGCACCTCGTTGACCTTGTCCAAACTGCCGCTCTCCAAAGCCCTTTGGAAGTCGGGGCTGAAATTCTCGAAAATCTCACGTCCCTGCTTGGTCGCCGGGTCCTCGCTGTCCTTGGGCGGGATCGTAATCTTGATCTCCGTGCCGGGCTCTACCGCGTGCAGCTGGATCTGCTCGACGCCCTCGGGCTCGTTGGCGCGCTCCTTGACAATCTCGCGCGCCCGGTTTCTGATCTTGCCATACGTGTCCTGGACGTCTTTGTAGAAGACCTCCTGCGCCTGGTGACCTCGCGTCGTGATGCGCTTGAAGAACATGCCGACACCGTCCTTGCCCAGCGCGCGGCAGTATTGCAGCAGCAGAGCCTGGTGCACGCACTGCCGGCAGTAGTCGTCCTTGCCCTCGAGGGCGGCGTCGAACGCGAGGACGAGGAGGCCGTCCGTCTCCCGTTCCGTCAGGATCTGGGGGTTCTTGGACAGGTATGACAGGCTGGACGTGTAGTCGTCGGCCTTGATCTGGGCAAACGCCTTGGCCGCCGGGGATGCCTCAATCTCCTCGTCGTCATTGTGCGACGCCGTTGACTTGGCCGGGAGAGACTGCGTCATGTCGAAGTTGGGGTTCAGGAGCTCCGGCTTGCGCTCCTCCTTCTTCCCCGTATCCTTGGACTTGTTGACGTGCGAGCTGTCAAAGCCTGTGTGGATGCTCTCGCTCGTGATCTTGCGGCCCTCCTCCTTCTCCAGCTCAGCCAGCTTGGCGAACAGCTCCTTCTGCAGGTTCTGGACCTTGGTCAGGTGCCCCTCGACGCCCTCGAGCATGGCCTGGTATCGGTTCTCGGGCTTCTTCTCGTCGAGCTCCTTGTTCACCTGGTCCAGCAGGACGGCCATCATCTTGGAGAAGGTGGGCAACGGCTCCGAGTCGGTGTGGATGCCCTCGGGGCGCGGGGGCGGCTGGTCGTCTTCGGGCTTTCCGGCCGACTCCATGACGGCCCGGAAGGCGACCTCGCCCGGGTTGCGGGTCTCAGCCTCGGAGGCATGGGATTTGAGGGCGTCGAGCAGGTTGGATATACGCCTGATCAGGCCATCGTTGATGATACGCTCGTACTTGAGCGTCTCGATTTGGTGCTTGCGCTGAAGCCGTTCCTGGTGGATCTGGTTCTGCTTTGCTCGGATGAAGGATCGCTTATCGACGTTGGGATGGACTTCAATGTCCGAGTCGTCGCTGAGCTCCAGCGCGTCCTGTGGTGTTTACAATGTCAGCACACTTGCGGTCGGGCTCATGGTGCATGGAAAGACCACAACAAGAAGAAACTGCAATTGTGAAACGTACCCATTTGCTGTAGTCGACAGGCATCTTTGACAATGGTTCAGCGTTGTGATGTGTAGATGCTTAATTGCCTGCAGCTGGTGCGGGCCTCGATTATTGAGATCGAACTTCGGGACAGTGTTGGTTGTGGTATGGAATCTTCTGGATTCTGTTCGACACCAGCCGCTGTTTAGCAGGAGCTGGTTATAGAGCCAGTACGGAGCATCACAAGTGCGGGGCATTACCCCGCCGTCAGGTGCTGCGTTTGCACCTGAGCTCAGCTATGAGGTCAGCAGGGGCCACAGTCATTCATTATTACCTCTCAGAACTTAGCTTCAGTACTCTTCGTAGTGGGCCAGGCTTCCAACGTGCCCAGGAAGTCACAGATATAGAGCCGTGGCTGGGAAGTCGAGCGTCACCGGGTCACAAAGAATGAACCTGAGCCTTGTTGCCCTCACGGCTTTGTCTAATCAAACCACTCTCAGCAATGGACAGAATAGCTAGACAAGGCTGTGCACAGAACAGGAAACTGCAGTCCAACCAAGTACGCAACACAGGTCACCAGCATTGACAGCCTTGCATGGGATTATGGCTTTGTGGTGAACTTTTGATTCATGAATGTTAACGCACCATGCACACTCATCTGCCTCCTTCGCCACAACTCTCTAGTCTCCTGAGTCGTGAAACCACTAATATCATATGGTACATACGTTCCAACACACTATTCGTTATGAGTACATTGCTTGCTGCGTGGGAACAAATAGGAGGTTTGTAGCCTCCGTGACTTGAGAGAGCATCCCGAAGCTCTCGCGTCTAAACCAGATGCCAATCCAAACTCCATACGCATGCTTTCCCCAGAGCCTCTTGCTAGCTCGTTCCGGCTGTGGGTCGGCCTTCTACTGCATCGTCTTCAGGAACCCATCCAGATCGAAACTCTCCTCGTACTGGCGGTTGTCCCAGAGATCGCCCAAATCATCAAGCCAGGCCTTCTTGCCGGGCTGTTTGCTCGTAACAACGTCACCCGTTTCAATGTCCACCATATCTTCCTCTCGTCCTTCCATCGCGTTTTGTGGCTTGTCCGATATGAGACCAGGTCCCGTGTCTCCTAGGTTGAAGAGGTCGAGAATCTGATCTGTATCCATCGTGGCCAAGCCAGCATTCTGTTGATTGACGACAGTTGAGGCCACGTCGATCTTGAAGCGCTGCAGACTGAGAATCTTCTCCTCGAGAGTGCCTCTGGTGACCAGACGGTACACGTTGACGACCTTCTTTTGGCCGATTCGGTGGGCTCGGTCCATGGCTTGCATATCCTTCTGGGGGTTCCAGTCGTGTTCGACGAAGATGACGGTGTCGGCACCGGTAAGGTTGAGGCCAAGACCTCCGACACTGGTGGTCAGGAGCAAAACGTCGTATGACGGATCGCTGTTGAACTTGTTGACAATGTCTTGTCGCTTGTTGGCTTCGACTCCACCATCCAGGCGAAGGTAGGTAACGCCAGGTAACATGCTCTTCAGGACTGTGTTCTGGACCATATCCAGCATTTCCTTCATCTGGCAGAAGACGAGAGCGCGATGCGGCTTGATCGGCTGGTACAGCGGGTCGTTCGACTCGGCTTCTTCCACGCCAATGCCGCAGTCAACGAGCAAGTCTCTGAGGGCGGTCAACTTGGGTGCGTGGACAGGATCCTCGAGACTGGTTCCCTGCTTCCTAAGGATGCGTTGTGTCTCTTCGTACATGCCGTGGCCAGGCTTCATAACCATGGCCGGGGAGTTGCAAAGCTTCCGCATGTACTGCAGGGCCTGGAAGATGTGGGACTTTGCATCCTTGTCTTCGCGGCTCGCCTCCTCTTGCAGCTTCTTGCCTTGTTTCCGCGTGAAGTCGTCGAAAAGCTTCTTCTGGAGGTCGCTAAGGTCACAGTAGTAGTTCTGCAAGATCTTGGGCGGCAGGTCGTCGAGCACCTCTTCCTTGAGGCGTCGCAGGAGGAAGGGAAGGACCTGCTTGTGAAG